ACAAGAAAATCAACCTTTGATTTTTCTCAAAGAAAAAAAAAAAATCAAAATCAAACCTTCCCCATACTATGTTTTAAATGCCCTGACAAGGTGTATTACAACATTTACTTCTCTGTCTGTACCTCAACTATCACAATCCTTCAAATGATATTTCAGCTTGTTAGTAACATAGGCAATACACAACCTTTCCTCACGCTCTTGATGGAAGCACGAGCATTAACACAGCTGAACCACCAGCATTTCCATTTTACCTGGGCTTTAGCCCATGTTACTGCAGCAAACACAGAAAAATGTAATATAGTCTTTTTATTAGAATTGTTAGTCAGGTAGAACAGGTACAAATAGAAGCTTTCCAGGTTTTTTGAATCATTATTTTACACTATCCCTCTGCAAAGCTAATACCAGTGAGCTATAATCTGCTACAAAGTAGAATTAAAGCTGCTTTAAGGAACCTGAAATACTGTATAATCCTTGAATTATGCAGATTTTTTTGGTGTCTTATGCTTAATAAATAATGTTTTAATAATGGCCAGTCTCTTCGCGAACGAAGAACCGGAGAAGGTCTTTCCACCTTCCAGCCTGCGCATTGGGTTTTTTAGGTGAGACACAGTGTGCGCAGAACTGAGCCCACCCTTTAATCCTGAGGTTCATCTGCCGGGGCCAAGCACGCTTGGACGGTGGCAGCGAGGTCCTCAGGACGTAGATGGATTGCCTTACGGGCTAACGAGCTCCATCTGCCCGGGGAGGGGCCCCGACCGGGAATCGAACCCGGATCTCTGCAGTGACAGTGCAGTGAATTTTCCCCTGCTTAGAAACAGATCCAAATAACTACAGAGTATGATAACACTATAGAGCACTTTATTGCTTTTTTTTCCTTCTTTATTTTTCAGCACTTTTCCCCTATTAAAGCCTTGTTATCTGTGAGGGAGAATCACCATTTTCAACATGAAAAGGAAAAAAAAAGAATGCAAGCAAAAGGTCCATACATCATACTACCAATTTTACACTGTGCTTAAAGTACATGAAAACTCAAAAAGCTACAAAGAATTATGTGGGTAGACTTGTACCAGTGTTTCTAAAAAGTTACAGACAGGTTTGGATTTTTCTCTAAGAATTTCAGCTATTTTTTGAAGCCCATCTTCATATATTTTGGTTT